CCAGACAAACATGACTTTATCTCACGGTTTCCTACATACACGTTAACTAAACTACCTTCATAAATGTTTAGACTGGGAGAAGTTAAAACAACGGTGAGGAACAGTTTTTTTTTCGAATAGCATGCGCATATTTGAACAGCAACAAGGAGAACTTGTTCAGGAAAGGATACGCTGCCAGTAGAAACCAGTGAACGCACAGTGGGTTGACCAGCACTGACTGATGTCATGTCATGGTAGTCATGGCTGGAAACTGCGTAAACTGCCTACATTACGAGGTTACAGATTTCAAACTATTTCCTCAGTCTTCTTATGGGACTACTGCTTCATCTAGGTCAACAGTGCAAGTGAGAAACTCGGAAACATTCACTGAGAACAATTGGGAAAAAGGAAGGGGGGTGGGGGGGGGGGGGGGGGGGGAACCCGCACAGAAGATAATTTTAACAAATCTAAAGACATGAGAGGAGCGGTGGGTTGAACGGTTAAGAACGCAGGGTTTTCATGCGGGAAGACCCGGGGTCGAATCCTCGCTAAGGTTATGATTTTTTTTCTGCTACCGCAAAAAAAAAAAAAAATTCTAACCTGCACAGTGCGCGTCCAACGCTCTAGGCATGCGGCCTTAAATCCCTAGGCTCACAGAATCCCTAACCACCCCCCCCCCCCCCCCTCGTTTTTTTTTTGTTTTACACAGTAGAAGTAGTAAATACAGGTAGTGAATGACATCTGAAACAAGAAAAGATAACACGCCGACAGAAAGGCGACAATGAGAAACACGGACATATGCAAACCTGACAGTTGAGTCAACATGACGTAGCTTAGAGAAAAAAGATAGGCTCTTCACAGCACACACAAAGTTTAACGTCAAGAGTCTCGGCTTTTCTCTCAAATAGTTCGGCCTCTCTCTGCAAAACAGGCAGTCTCCTGCCAAGAAAATTGCACAAACCACTAATCCTGTATCCCCAGTTACATTCCCCCATGGATCTCCGTAAAAATAGCACTCGTCCTCAACGATGTATTCCGTGAAACGAACGCATGATTTTCAGACCGTGAGGCAAATGGCTTAACCACTTTGCCATGCCTATTGGATCATAACTTTAAATTGGGAAAGTCGATCACTTTAAAAACAAACATATACAAGTCTACAAATAGAAAGCTCAAAAACACCACAACTGTGATAACAAAACATGTCACGGTTACAGTTTCTGAAGAGGTATTATTTTGCACTTTGCAGTTTCTTTCAGGCTTAGTTTCAGTTCTCCTTTCAGCGGGTCCCAGGAGGGGATGTGGAACGTAATTCTCGCCACGCTTGGTGATAACGCCAAGAGTAATTGCTGATAAGCTTTGAGAGCTCTAGAGCTTACAACAAATCATCGGCTCGCAACAGAAGTACTGAAGCTCGCTGGAGACTTTGCACGGGGAGTTTAGAGGCGATTGTGTTGGTGAAATGAGGAAATGGCTGTCCGGTTTAGAAGATGGTCGACTATCAGGTGTCACAAGGGTTGGGATACCATTAGCTTTCAAGACGAAAGATAGTAAGAGTGAAGAGCGATGGGTTGGAGAGAGAGAGAGAGAGAGAGAGAGAGAGAGAGAGAGAGAGAGAGAGAGAGAGAGAGAGAGAGAGAGAGAGAGAGAGATTCTCCTAGATGTTTGGGTTGGTGAAATGGGAAGGTGACTTGAGAGATATGGTAAAAAATAGGTGGGTTGGTGAAATGGGAGGGTGATTGGTAAACTATGGTTATAGATGGTTAATTTGGTGAAATTGGTGAAATATGGTGAAAGATGGTTGGGTTGGTGAAATGTGACTGTCAGTGGACCAATCTAGTGACAGATGGTTGGGATAAGGAGATCTGTGGGAGACCGGACAACTGCGATGAAAGATAGCGGAGACCGTGCAATGTCAAGGTGGCTCAGAAAATGTTTTGAAAGATGGCTGGGTCTGTAGTATGAGTTTAACATGTAGTCTGTATGTCCTCTGATTTTTACTTGTTTCCATATCCCCCCTCCCCCTTTCTCCAAACCATACAATTATTATTGTTTATCGTTGCTACTTCATAACTTCAATAAATATGTTTTCTGATAGCCTTAGGCGACCCACAGGTTGGGAACTGCTGCTTTAATGCCACTATGGTCTCTACAGGTTGATATCTTTGACCAGGTCTTGGTCAGATATGGCTGAACTACCGTGAATAGTTAGTTTTTCCTGTTTCGGTAAACGCCTGGCATATGCCAAACCTGATATCCCACACTGTGCCATCGGCTTCGGGCACAGGGGCGTATGCCAACGGCTACTGCGGCAAGGCACTGTGGGAGGATACTAGCCTTATCCTAGGAAGAGGAGATGCAAAGGCAGATCAGCCTTGGCTATGGCTGGCAGCCAATCTAGGACATTCGAATAGGGTACTGCTCTTCTGAGCCGGCAGCTTCTGCAGCAAGCTTTGTACTAAACCTATTAGTGTTAACTTTTCTCTGGAGTAAACAAAGCAGGTCGAGTGAGGGATCAGATACATGGGCAATATATGGTCTCTATAAAACCGCCCCGGCTTTGTGCTATAAGGAGAAACAACTTCATTCTTAGCTAGTGTAACAAGAGCGGGTCTTGCTAGTCACACTCACCGTCGCCATGGGATGTGATTCTCACGCCTCTATATAGTAAATACCAGTTACTTCCGAGAGATTATACCATATACTTCTGACAGACGACAATAACCATTTCTGAGAGAATACACCTTTATACTTCTAAGAGAAAAAAAACCCATCTTCTTCTAGGAAACTATACCAGTCACTTCTGAGAAACTATATTATCTATTTCTGAGTGATTATAATGGCTATATTATATATATATATATATATATATATATATTAACTAACTATAATGGCTACATATGACAGAGTGTACCATTTACTTCTGAGAGATTGCGTCAGCTATTTTTAAGAGACTATACCATCTACTTCTATAAGACCATACCATCTACGTCTATGAGACTACACAATTTACTCCTGAAAGACTGTTCTAGATGAGTAATAATGTGAATAATATAATAAGAGCCCTTAATGTAGAAGAACTGATAAAAAATGTTGCAACAACTTCAAAGACAAATACTGACACACCAGCCTACTTGAAAATAAAAAAAATAAAACACAACACATCATTTTCACACACACACAAAGCTAGAAAGAAAGAAAGAAAGAATGAAAGAAAGAAAGAAAGAAAGAAAGAAAGAAAGAAAGAAAGAAAGAAAGAAAGAAAGAAAGAAAGAAAGAAAGAAAGAAAGAAAGAAAGAAAGAAAAAGAGAGAGAAGGAAGGGGGGGGGGAGAGAGAGAGAATTAAAAAGAGAGAGCTAACGTACTTCATAGATAAAGCACCCTCAGAATATTTCAAGGCTAAAAAATCTGATTTACTTGTCGATTTGAAAGACACATACAAAGGTACACCACTTTTGGCAGCAATAACATACACAGATACTACACCTTTTTATTTCAACAACAACATACAATGATACAGAGATAATCAACTGAACCCACATGTAATCAGCTGCAGACCCCGGAAGCCTCACTATGACAAAGTGCAATTACCGCAGAGAAAAGCGAGGGCAGCGGTGATTCTACTTCTTGGTTTAGTTCAAGAAACTATCATTAAAGAGGGGTAAGAAATCTTAAAAAATACAAATCTAACCTAGTTACGTTCTCCTTTATCTTTTTATTGGGGAGTCGCCGTGGCCGAGGGGCTAGACAATCGACGCGGATCAGAAGTTCGTGGGTTCGCTCCCTGGCGGAGCCGGACTTTTTTAAAAATGACCTTGGCTCATAGGTCGACCCAGCCTTGAGTGGGTGCCAGGTGCAGTTCCGGAAAAGTAAAGGCGGCCGGCGTGATGCTGACCAGATCACCCATCTTGTGCCGATTGGTCTATAAAAATATAGGTCTAGCCCTATATGCCCTATATGCTTTGAGGCGTGGAAAAGCGTCCTTACTTTCTACTTAGTCTTGTTTGGAACATAGTTAACTCATGAACCCATAGCTATCTACAATCAGGATATCTATCTACTTATATCCTCGCCATAACGCAAAAATAAAAACAAAAAGAAAGCATTTAACTGACGATCTCTGCTGCTGACGGACTGCTGTTTTTCTACCCATGGTCTTCCATGCCAATTTACGCTCCTTAATGTTCCTTTCTACCGTCCTTCTCCACGTTTTTTTAGCCCGCCCATGTCCCTTTTCCCTCAACTACCGTCCACAGTGTCATGAAACATTTAGAAACATATCGAAACCAGCTCTACCTTCTTCTACTGATAACGTTTTTCTATTTAGAATTTACTCTTCTGTAGCAAAATCTAGTGTGCTTTGCTGTGCAACCACAGCTTTATTCGGTTAGCTGGATGTTAGTTCCTCCAGAGTCCGCCCAAATACCCATATTGCTCACTTCTCATTGGTAGTTCCTGAGCCGCGTAGCTTCGCACACTGCTACGGGGGTGTTCCGCAATGCCGTTGATATCGCTTTTAACACTACAAAAACATGGACAAACTGGGTCTAACACAACGCCCCTAGAGAGTGCTGCGACCTATGTCCCAGGCATTCTCTTTCTCGGAATGAAAACGTCAATGCAAGACATCGCAGAAACCAAACAAGAGAGCGGGACACACCCGTAACCTCCATGAAAGTGGACCAGCCCAACAAAGTTGTCAATGAAAACTGACGTACTTTGTTTGGTAAGACTAACGTCGAACTAAATCTTTATTCTATTCCCTCATCCCACCTGTCCCAATTTTACATCATACGTGGTGAAAAAAAGAATCCTCCAACTAAAACATAAATACCGGATAAAGCAAACTGACCCGAACGGCTGATTTACAAAAGGATACTAAGTGCAACAAGCATAGTAAAAAAAAAAAATGGTAGTGATTAAAAAAAAAAAAAAAAACGATGGCAGAAGGAATAAGATAAGAAAGAAATCTAGGCTACGGGAATTCAAGCACACACAGGGGGAAACAACGTGAACATTACCTCAATGATATCCTTGTTAGTTCGACTCTCGTGTGGTTCGTTGTACTCAGTGTATTTGAGTAAGACCTTGTCCATGTCCGTGCTGGCATACTGGAACAGCTTGTTGGACGAGTTGAAGATGATCAGCGCGATCTCACAGTCACACAGGACACTCAGCTCGTAGGCTTTCTTCATCAGGCCAAATTTTCGTTTGGTGAAGGTCACCTACAGAAGGATAACCGCCGATATTCACAATCTTTTCTGAAAGCAGTGTTTCTCAACATTTTATACCCACGGCCCACCTGGACTTTTCCGCAGCTCACGGCTTATGAGTTGAAAAACACTGTTTCAAAGAACACTTTTTGTGTCTTTAACGCACCGGTCATATAGACCTATATTCTAGCAACCAATCAGCACACGATGAGTGATATTGTCAGCTCCGGCCACCTTTACTTCCAAGGACATTACCCGGTATCCATTAGAGGCTAGGTCGACCTTGAAGCCAAATTCAATTTTGAAAACAAATTTGCCCCGAAATGGATTTTAACCGTAGAGCGTATGCGGTAGCGAGGATAGTTTAGATAAACGATAACTTTAACTCTTTTTCCAGACAACCCCCCCCCCTCTCTCTCTCTCTCTCTCTCTCTCTCTCTCTCTCTCTCTCTCTCTCTCTCTTCTCTCTCACCCACTTACCGTTTTCTCCAATCGTATTTCAGTTTAGAGAAACAATACTGTTAACTCTCTTCTTCATGAACCCCCCCCCCCCCCCCTCCTTAAATTTACTGTTTTCTTCGCAGATGTTTCAGTTTAGAGAGAGAGAGGGTGGAGAGAGAGAGAGAGGGAGAGAGAGAGAGAGAGAGAGAGAGGAGAGAAAGAGATAGAGAAAGAGATAGAGAAAGAGAGAGAGAAAGAGAGAGAGGGAGCGAAAGAGATAGAAAAGAGAGAGAGAAAGAGAAAGAGAGCGGAGCGAGAGAGAGAGAGAGAGAGAAAGAGAGAAAGAGAGAGAGAGAAAGAGAGAGAGAGAGAGAGAGAGAGAGAGAGAAAGAGAGAGAGAGAGAGAGAGAGAGAGAGAGAGAGACTGATATAAACTGTCTGCGATACTGTTAGTGAGCCAGTCCACTCAATATTCAGACCGCTAAAAATTATAGTATCTTAACTTTCATGGATCCAAAGATCCAACTGTCACGCCCATCTGTGTTCTGAAATCCAAAACATATTTACTTTATATCAGGTTCCGTACTGGCACACAATGCAGGTTACGCACCACTTTTGTGGCCGCTAGGTGTGCACTGATTATTACTCGAAATTGAACAGGATAGCTGGCATATGCCCGGCTAATCTGCCATTCAGACTGGGATTTAGTCATCTCAGGGTTGTCAGTTATTAAGACAGGCACCCAGACAAGAAAAAACAAAACGGAACGGAGTTATAAAGCGAGGTTAGACAGCAGGTAGGAAAATAAGAAGACACAGCTGATGACAAAACAGGTCAACATTATTATCTTCTTCTTCGCAATCACCGGCTGTAAACTCTGGCGGAAAGTTCTGGCTGTTCGTCCACTTATGGACTGCAGTCCTGTTCCAAAACCTGAGTGTTGCATGTGCATCCGTTTTACAGATCAGACTACTTTCTATGCAGACTGTTGGTTCCTTGCCTCTCAGGCAGATGCACTCTGACTTTAAAGGAAGATCCCAATTAGTCGACTTTTACGACATGGGTCTATTTTTGTTTTCCCTATAATAGGGCCCTGGAACCCACACGGGGTAACATTATTATGACAACTGACCTGTCTGTTCCTCTCATCTCCAATGCGGGAGATTTGTATTTTCTTACGTCCCATAGTCTTGGTGGTAGATTTAGCTCCCTCCAACGTGATGGCTTAAGTGTAGCAACAGATTTCAATTAAATGGTTGGTCGAGTGGACAGAGCCCAAGCACTCAACAAATATCTGCAACAAAAAGACGACAAACTCGTTACAACATGTTAATTTTCGTAGGGGATGGAGAGAGATTCGCCGAATGAGTGTCTGAGTGACTGAAATAGAAGATAGAACAAGAATTAAGACAGTGTGTGAGACAGACAAGACACGCAGAGAGAGAGAGAGAGAGAGAGAGAGAGAGAAATTGAGAGAGAGATAGAGAGGGGGAGAGAGAGAGAGAGAGAGAGAGAGAGAGAGAGAGAGAGAGAGAGAGAGAGAGAGAGAGAGAGAACGAACGAACAAATGAATAAACTTATTTTTTTACGCATTATTCTTCTTCTTTCTTCTTCCCGTTCACCAGCAGCAAACTGCATTCACTTTTGGACTGCAGTCCTGTTCCAGAACCTGAGTGTTGCGTGTGCATCCATTTTACAGAACTGACTAATTTGTATGCAGACTGCTGGTTCCTTGCATCTCAGGCAGATGCACTCCGACTTTGAAGAAAGCTCCCAGTTAGTCAACTCTTACGACATGCTTTTGGGTAGGCAGTGGGTCTAATCTTGTTTTCCCTACAACAAGGCCCCGGAACCCACACGCAGAAAAGCATTATTTATTGGGCATTCAGGCCTGTCTAACACGCTGCCCTTTTAACTCCCATCTTGTCATAATCCATTCATTCATATATCTGTAAACACTTAACACCAGCAGATAAACAGTAAATGCAAGCAATGGAGTGTGCTCGAATTACAGCTCCGTACATAATAACCACAGCAACGTTGTTTTTTTTCAACCACCTTTTTCCCACGCCTTTCAAGTGTATTGGACATTAAGGACGGAACCTTTATTTTATCGACTAATTGGTGCTCGTCCAACTCACACCAAGTCGTCCTGTCCTGAACATGCACTTTACGCCAGCTTTTTATATTCAGTCTCACCCGGTGGCTGGTGTGGTTAACATCACGCTGGCCATCTTTACTTCCCAGGACTTTACCTAGTTCCCACATAAGGCTAAGTCCACCTGTTGTTGTTGATACGGTGTGCGTGTGTGTGTGTGCGTTAAAATTAATCATCATTATGGCTACGGAGAAAGTGAAAAGTGTCAGCGACAGTGCTGTAAAGAAGCCTAAGCGTGGTACAGTAGAAAATAAGAGGGAATTAATAAATAAACAGAAGGCTTATGTTCGTGTTTCTGATCTCGACAAGTAGTTCGATCTGGCCTAATCTACGATCTGTACTTATTACGATCTGTATTTATTACGATCTGTACTTAGTACGATCTGTACTTATTACGATGTGTACTTATTACGATCTGTACTTATTACGATGCGTACTTATTACGATGTGTACTTATTACGATCTGTACTTATTACGATCTGTACTTATTACGATCAGTACTTATTACAATCTGGCCTAATCTACGATCTGTACTTATTACGATCTGTACTTATTACGATCTGTACATATTACGATCTGTACTTATTACGATCTGTACTTATTACGATCTGTACTTATTACGATCTGTACTTATTACGATGCGTACTTATTACGATGTGTACTTATTACGATCTGTACTTATTACGATCTGTACCTATTACGATCAGTACTTATTACAATCTGGCCTAATCTACGATCTGTACTTATTACGATGTGTACTTATTACGATCTGTACATATTACGATCTGTACTTATTACGATCTGTACATATTACGATCTGTACTTATTACGATCTGTACTTATTACGATCTGTACTTATTATGATCTGTACTTATTACGATGTGTACTTATTACGATGTGAACTTATTACGATCTGTACTTATTACGATCTGTACTTATTACTATCAGTACTTATTACAATCTGGCCTAATCTACGATCTGTACTTAATACGATCTGTACTTATTACGATCTGTACTTATTACGATCTGTACATATTACGATCTGTACTTATTACGATCTGTACTTATTACGCTCTGGCCTAATCTACGATCTGTACTTATTACGATCTGGCCTAATCTACTATCTGTACTTATTACGATCTGGCCTAATCTACGATCTGTACTTATTACGATCTGGCCTAATCTACGATCTGTACTTATTACGATCTGGCCTAATCTACGATTTGTACTTATTACGATCCGTACTTATTACGATCTGGCCTAATCTACGATCTGTACTTATTACGATCTGGCCTAATCTACGATCTGTACTTATTACGATCCATACTTATTACGATCTGGCCTAATCTACGATCTGTACTTATTACGATCTGGCCTAATCTACGATCTGTACTTATTACGATCCGTACTTATTACGATCTGGCCTAATCTACGATCTGTACTTATTACGATTCGTACTTATTACGATCTGGCCTAATCTACGATCTGTACTTATTACGATCTGTACTATCTTTAAAAAATATAGTCGCGCTAAATACGGCTGGTATGGCTAAAAGAGTGTTAATGAATCTAATAGCTAAAATGTTAGAAAAGGTTTTTAAAATTTTGCCGCGCTAGCGCAGTCGATAGGAGACTGGCTTTCAAATTCAGGTGCAGCCCATGGCTTGTGTTCGAAACCAAGCGGTTCCTGGGGGAATGAGTACCAGAATTACCACTTTGTGGTAAATGGAGGAAGGTCGCTGTAGCTAGGGAGTTGCGTGCGGACGACGACACAGGCGGACAGTTTCCTAGCAGCTGTCCGTACTGGTGGCAGAGCACTTATGGTTTATAACCATGTGCAATGACGCTGGTTCACATCTTCCGACTTTATCTTTACCTTTACTTTTGAGTCAACAATCGAATCACCTCACAGGATACAAACTGCAGGGAAAACAATATAAGAAATACCTAAACAGTTGCCCGACGGTTTTGTGTGTGTAAAGAATTGGACTCTCTTTCAGAGGAGAGTGTTCTTCTGCCTCATTTTCTTTCTTCTAACGCTGCCAGCAACTATCAACCACAAATTATATAATATATTTTTGCCACACATAAAGACATACAATGAAAGTCTAAAAAAAAAACAATATGTTTCTGGGGTGGGCTAACGTATGAATTGGATTTACATTAATTTTAATAGAAAACATTGTTTCGACTTGTGTACATTTCGGTTCAAGAACAGAGGCAAAAAAAAAGGAATTCAGTTCGTAACCCCCAGATACCTCTGTATATACTACTAGAACTTTATGTCCTTATGATGCAGTTTGTAGATCGCCATTCTAATATTTATTTAACGATTACACTCCTGCTGCCAACGGCCCACCCACCTAACACAACCGTTCCCATTCCTTTACATCAAAAACCCATCACCAGACTGTAGCCACCGCGACTGACTTCACGTGGGCATACATCAGCGGTTCTCAAATAGCCCAAACCTGCGGGCTCTGTTATTTTAGAAGGTCTCCCATGGACCCTGTACTTTTCGACAGTCATACTAAAGATCTGGGAGCCGCCGTGGTGTAGCGGCTAGACGCTACTGGTGGATCCGAAGTTCGAAGGTACAGGTCCCAACAGAGCCGGACTTTGAAAAAAAAATTTTTTTAATGACCTTGGCAACCAGGTCGACCCAGCTCTAAATGGGTACAAGGCAGAGTCTTGGGAAGTAGAGGCGGCGTGATGTTGATGACATTACCGACCGAGTGCCGATTGCTATATAAAATATAGGTCTAGCCTTATTTTCCTCATACGTCTAAAGGCTTGGAAAAGGGTCCTTTACTTATTCAAAGGCCACCTTGGAAATCGAACACCTGACATGTGCCGATCACGCGACTGGGCAGGCAACACAAGAGCTTTATCACCTTTTACGGTAGCGGAGGGATAAAAAAAAAAGTGCAGAAGAAACTTCTTCCGGGAAAGAAGAGGGGAGTGCTGAAAGGATTAGCGCTGCTGAAATCCAAAACCGTTTGAACTATGTGGTTAAAATGCAATAAGTTATTGAGTAGTGGCACCCTGAGAGAGCCCTACTTAACAGGTGTGTTAACTTATTCAATGACAACATTATCCAACATTTTAGCAAAATTAAAAATGGTTATCAACACGAGAGCACATTGAAATGTTGGCTGTCAAACTAGTGATCCCAAATCTTCTACAAGTGGTGAACGTCTATGGTACGAAACACCAGAAACCATGCTTAATGTTACTATGTTACCACAGACAGTTTGTGTTCAATCTTTCTGGAACAAACACGTCATATCGTGCTGAAATGTGTGTACCTTCGTAGAGATATATGTGTACCAGGTGTGCACCATGTGTGAACCATAGTGCAGATTTGTGTTCCAGATGTGTACCAGGTGTGTACAATCATGGAGATATGTGTGTATTATGTGTGTGCAGTTGTGCAGATATGTGTGTACCATGTGTGTATCATTGTGTAGATTTGTGCAATTCCAGATGTTTATTATGTATGTTTCATCAGGCAGATGTGTGTATGCTAAAACTGTTTAACATGTGTTTAAAACCGTGCAGATATGTGTGTACCATGTGTGTATCATTGTGCAGATTGTGTGTGTTCCAGATGTTTACCATGCATGTATCATCGTGCAGATGTATGTGTGCTCCAGATGTTCACCGTGTGTACACGATCGTGCAAACATGTGTGTATCAACGTGCAAATCTGTGTGTGTTCCAGATGTTTACCATTTGTGTATCATGGTGCAGATGTGCGTGTGTGTGTTTCAAATGTTACCTATGAATGACCATCATGTAGATATGAATGTGCCAGGTGTGTATCATTGTGCAGTTGCGTGTATCGGATGCCGCATCAAGGCAGGATTTTTTTTTAAAACATTTCTTCTTGTGCGCTGACCCTTAAACCTAATAGTAAGTTGTGCTGCGGTTTACAGCTAGGCTGGGTATGTGCGGCCTTTGGCCCAACACATCCGATTCCAACAAACTAAACTAATTACTCGAATTTTACGACATGCTTGTTAGAG